ACGTCATCGAACTGTTGTTTCATATTTATTCGGAAGTCCCCTAACTCCTCCAGAATTTGCGTTAGTCCTGTCGCGCCAGTGGAAAGCGGACTAGCATTAGCTTCGTCGAGGTGCCGGTGAGTTAGTGAGCTAGCTGCCGTCTTTCTTTCTTGTGCTAAGTCTTCATTTGTGGTTTTCCTATTTCCGTCCTTTTTCCCCATTCTAGACCCCCTTACAGACTCAATTTTACTAATTTTTCGTTATATTTGGCAAATAATGGGGGTCGAATTAAGATTTATCGGAGGAGTGACGTCACCGGAACCCCATCAATTTTTCAGTTTTCAGAACAAAAAATAATTTTACAAATAAAATGTATTTATTGAAACACCTTTGTGATGGTCTTGCCATCAACTTCTGCCATCAGGTCCAGAGTTCCGTCTTTTAATGAGTCCTCATAGGGCTCAAAGAGTTTGCCAGCAATTTCCAAGATGCTTCCATCTTCCAGAAGAATCTCGGTTATTTCTGGTGCAGAGTCTTTTTCCATCGCTCCCAGAATCTTGATTCTGGTCACAAAACATGAAGTTAGAGCAAATAATCAGTTTAAAAAAAACAAAACATATTTATTTCAAAGGTCTCTGGAAATACATTTGAAATTGTCAGTCTAATGTTAAGTAACCTTGTTTCAGAACATGTATTTGCCATATCAGTTTTCATGGCCACTAACCATAAATATGAAGATGGAAGAATGACCACATTACTTATATAGTTTGTAACAAAAACGTGGAATGAAATATTCTAATTACATGAAAGTAATTGCAAAATGTTCTTTTAGAAAGAAGTTAAAATCTTGCATTTCCTTAATTACATTTTAAACATTCATTTAATTTCATCATTTATTGACCTGTCATATAAAACTCACAATGAACACGGTTCTGGGATTTTATTATTTTCTTCTTCTCCAGAATATTGCCAAAATGAGAAAGATCTTTTCCAGGGGTGATGATAAGAAACTAATCAATGTTTTTTTTTTAACTGCTGGATTTTTCCAATTCTTTTCTATCAAATCAGGAGGTTCACACACTGTACTTAAAAGCCTTCAGCTGACCCAAATGCTACAGCCAGAGTTCTGAACAAAATTAAAAACAGAGATCTTTTTTTTTTTTCATCTTTGCTTCTCTGCATTGGTTTCCTGTTAAATCCAGAATAGAAATGAAAATGCTTCCTACAGTAAGTAACCAAGCTCCATCTGATATCAGAGATCCGATTGTTCCTTGTGTTCCTAACAGAGCACTTCGCTCTCAATCTGCAGGTTTACTAGTGGTTCCTAGAACTTCTAAAAGTAGAATGGGAGGCTACTTTTAAAGCAAGGCTTATAACATGCCTGTTTGTGAAGTCTTTACAGAGTTATACAGCTACGGACCATGACTGCTGGAGGAAATCAACCTGTTTTATTCTCCCTGCTGAGTCTCCCTAATGTTCTCCTCCCAGGAGATCAGATCAGCCATTACCTTCTATAAGATTAAACATCTTACTAAATCAGTGCTTTTGTTCTCTTTTGCATATGTTCTCATTATCCAGTGTGTCATGGTAAATGGACTTTCATGCTGCTTCAGGTTCTGCTGGAGTTCTCATCTCCACCATCCCTACATTGATGCTCAGTCGAAGCGAAAGTGATCGTCCTTATAGACTTATAAAGGAAGAGTGGAGGCTGCTGTAGAAGCACTCAAAGCATTATGATTTTTTAGTAACCATGACTTGGATTAATCGTACCACAGCAGAATTATAAAGAAAATGCAATTTTTACAATTTTCATTACTGAACCTTGAAGTGAAAAAATGCAATACCTCTAACTTGGTGTAGTTTGTGCTTTGCAGCTGGACGTGGTTCTTCGTATCGAATTTGACATGTGTCAACGTCACTCTGTCGCCCAACGAGATGCCAAGTATGGCACATTCCCTCCAAAGGGAGACCTTAGCCACAGTTCCTTCCTGTTGAAAAATAGATATATGGTGAAGGGGGGCAGGAAAAGATAAAGAAAATCAATGCTATCTTTTTTCCAGAGTCCATATGATGCTGATTTTCTCAGATATGCAAACTTGTTTTACTCTGAGTTACAGAGTTAGTTTAATTGGACAGTTCAGAGTGGAACAGAGTCTTTCCCAGACTGCACCTTTTTGATTGCAGACACCTAGAAAATGAAGCATACTTATAGTTAAGTTGTGACTTCAGTAACTAAAAGAAATTATCAACTAATTTTTTTTTTCTTTTAGAATTGTCTCTATTTGTAGGAGTACGACGGAGTATTAGGGCCACACATGAAGAGAAAAAATATTTTTGCCATGACGAGATTAAACTCGACATGT